ATGAACCTCGTTTCAGTGCCCCTATTTTGTGAATAACTCACTTCTCACCGCAGGGAAATTCATCTTCTGTCGCCTCAAAGTGCTGCTGGTGGCACTCAAAGACACTTTGAAGAACTAAACCCTTCAGAGGAACTTAATGGCTCCACTACAACTCCCCAACATCAAGAAGAGCTCTTTTCCCTGTAGGAACAAGGGCACAGCTCCCAACCAAAAGCACCAAGTGCCCATAAAACACACAAATGACTCCTGTTCTCAAGAACAGACACGTTCCCTCAGGCAAGGACCTGGTGGCATTTCTCTCCTCTCCCTGCATCTGTACAGTGCAGGGCTCAGGGAATGATCCATGAACTCCAGGTACTCAAATATGCATTTTCCCCAGTTAATTTCCTGACCAACTGTAATAGATCAAGACTTGAAACTATTTTCTTTCTAAAATAGCCTCTTCAGGTGATTTGTAAGGCTCCTGAGTGATTAAATTTTTGTAGCAGAAGAGTTTTAGACTGGATGAAGACATTAACTAATAGAGGGGGCCTTGAAAACCAGGTGGAGGGGTTTGGGGTGAACAGTCCTGGTGGCAAAAATGAATAGTTGCGTTTTTCACAGAAAAAAAACTTACTTAAAAAGTCACCCCCACTCAGGGAAGTGGCAAAAACCATTTAAATGGGGTTTCTTTGTTACTTTCTGATAAAAAAATACCCATCTGCTGAACACTTAGGAAAGGAAATCCATATTTGGATGAGCAAATCTTCTGATTAGCCTCAGTTTTATTTTGTGAAATTTTGTTTCAGAATGAAACAAAACCACTGAGCCAGCAGTGAGATCCATACCCTACAGTGCAGGTGTCCATGGCTCATCTCTCGTTCCACAGTCGAGTAGAAAGGAAGGAAAAGGAAGGAAATGAGTCTGAAACCAAAAGATTGGAAGAACTACAGTGATAAGTCCAAATAGAGTTGAAAAAAACAACATAAATAATCAAGGAAGCATTCCTTCTTAGCCATACATGCCCAGAGAAATACAGCCAACATCCTGTTTGCATCTCCTCTGGGATAAACAAGTATTATTCCTCAAGTGAGTCAGAAGGGATGATTTCATGAACAGCTCCAGGAGATTTCTGGAATGGAGGCTCTTCTAGAAATCCTCATCCCCAGCATTATTGGACTTACTGCTCTTCAAGGTCTTTTCCAACCAAAATGATCCTGTGGTTCCACTGGCTCCACACCAAACAGAGGCAGGACTTGAGTATTGACATTTTTTGGGGTGTGACAGGCCCCTGGATCAGAGGAATGTGAGGGACAGGTGACACCAACCCCTCAAACACAACCCAAATTTACAAGGTAACAAAAGCCCCAGGATGGGCTCATCTCTGAGCAGATGAATTCAGGATTTTTGTTACCATTCTTCTTTTAAAGCTATAAATCTTCAGGAGAAATATAAGGACCTTTAAGTGTTCTTTTCCGTCACGTATAAAAAAAAGTGCAAAACCACTTTAGGTTAAAAGCAGCCCCACAAAAATCTTCCAAAAACCCTTCAAAGATTGCATGGTATGAAGCAGATCCCCACAAGTCACAGCCCCATTCCACTACTTGTGAAAACCCCAAGAACAGATCCCTTGCAAATTTTGTGGGTGGATCTCCACATTTGCTTTTGTTTTTTAAAAGGGACCAGAATAATTTTTGCCTTCTATTCATCTTTTAAGAGTAAAGAATAAATTATTTGTGTCCCACCCCAGCTCACATTTGTATTTTCATGAATGATATGGACTCAACATAATTAAATATGTTAATTAGCAAATAATTGCTGCTGGATTGGTTTGGTCTGGCATAAAAGTGCAGAAAGTTTTGAATTCAGGAGCCTTCTTTGGTGGCCAAAAATTCCTGCTAAATTTTTTTCTTTGAACCATAGAGATTGGATTAGAGAAGGAAAAAAAAAGGAGAAATTTGATCCTGTGTTTCCACCTTCCTCCTTCCTGATTCCTTTAGCCTCAGAGTTTGCCTCTGAATTCAATAATGCAGCACTGGAAAAATAAAAGAGACTTCAGCTGACCTAATTTCATATATTGCACAGCTACAAGTGACATTTCTACTTTTACTTAAGTTAAAATATTATGGAAAAAAATCCAGCCTTTGCAGTATTTTTGTTGTTTGGAAGAGAGATAACAGCAAGAACTGTAAAACCAGATCTCTTCCTTTCAGAAAACAAAACCAAAAATACTCACAATATTCCCCATCCACACTCAAGCCTAACTTTTATTCTGGTGCACCACAGAATTGAACAAAAGGATTACAACATGAAAGAATTGAAATTAAACACTGAATGGGCTCATCAACAGTAAATTAGGACCGATGGCATGGCTCTGTAACAAAAGTCTTCGGGTTTTTAATAATTAGAGGGGTGGGTTTGAATACAAAGGGACCACAGTAGATGGGGAGAACTTGAATTTCACCAGAAGCAGATGGGATCCTGGGGAAACTTCCTACTGAAGTTTAGGAAAAAAGCTGCCTGACCAAGGCACTCCTGGATTAGGTGACTTGGGGACATCATTAATTGCTGTGGCTGGGGAGGATTTGGTGACACGGGAGGTCAAGTACAACATGTGAAACAGAGAAATTATGAGCTAATGAAGCAAAATGCAGCAAGAGGGGCAAGAAACTGAGTCAACATCCACAGCTCCCACCAGGAAAATGGAGGATTGGCATGCTGACTGCAAAGAAATAGCCCATAATTCCTGCCAGAGTTGATTTTTTATTTATTTATATTTATTATTTTGCTGTTGAGAGAACTGCACTGGTAGGAAATGGCAATTGCCAGAAGAACACATCTTTTCTGTGTTACATTTCAGGTTACAAATTCTGCTCCTGCACGTCAGAACTCCTCCAGGCCCAGCCCTAAACAGAGTTTTCTATTTAGCTGTAAGAAACATATTTCCAAGTAATTATGCCTGTAAGCATTGCCTCATTAGCTGGGTGCCATTTGCTGAGTCACCAGTCCCCCACCTTGGCTTAAATCCATTTCCAGCTCATTTTTCCTCTATTACACCCCTGTGAAATTTATCCAAAGTGCTTTTAGCTCCATTTACCCTTTCCTGAACACAGTATGGGGGAGGAAATCAGTTCAGTTTGTATCAGGGTGCTGCATATTCCTCAAGAAACAGCATTTCTGAGCTGTCACCCTGAGAAAAGCAGCAGGAATTTTGGCTACAGCCAGCAAATTTATACTCATTATAACAAAGCTGTCCTGTTCAGGCCATGTACGAGACCATTACCAAAGATAAAATCAAGCATGGCTTCTGTGATAAATATTGGCACGTGCCAGGCTAAAAAAATCCACCCCAAAATTATGTTCACACCCCTTTGAAGTAAGGGAGTTGCTGTATTTACTCAGTCACAGGACACTGCCATCAAAGAGTGGTGGCCCTTCCCTTCCTCTTAATCACCTGGAAGAAAAAGAATTCTGAACAATCTTGGGATATGGACACAGAGGTGAGAAATTGTCATATGAGTGTAAAGGAAATGGAAACCTGAGGGATCCCTTTTTCCCCTCCAGGAGATCAAATTGCTCCTGTCCTGTATGGGCCATCTGTGTTTTGCACACTACCATCACTCAAGACCAAAAATCCCCATTTTATTCTCTTCAAAGATGCCTTTTTAGAGAGATGTGATGCTACCAGCATGAGCACAAATAAAAATCCCACTGAAAAGTGTTGCTTTTTTCCTTTTTTCCTCAGCCTGCCCTGAGACTTCTCCACAGCCCCATGATCCTGCTTTGCTTCCCACCATTATTCCCACTGCTCTCCCATGTCCTCCTGTGCTGCTGGACATGCCAGAGGCCATCCTGCCTCCTCTCCTCCACCCAAACCAGCATTTTCCTCCTCAAACCACCACCAAGGTCAACCTCTACCAGCCTGATAGCCCCACTCCTCCACTGCAATAAATGAGTAAAACCCAATTAATTGTAGCCCAGCACAGAGCAAATATGTGAAATGTGAGCAGCTCGTCCACTTCAGTGTCAGGAGTGACAGTGATTATGACAGGGTGTAAAAATGGAGAAAATTAAATTAGCTTTCTTGTACATTATGGGGAGGGTTGGGCTGGGGGATGGAAGGGAATAAAAGGACATTTGGAGAGCAATTACTAGAACAAGAAACAGAGACTTTCGACTGGATAGCAAAAAACAAAGCATAATTCAAGCAGGACTGAAGACTTCCCATGAAAGCAAAATTACTTTACTTCCTAGCTGACAAAATAGAGGTTTTTAAACCAAAACCCAGATGCCAAAGTCATAAATTTGTACAATTACAGCTCTACCCACATGGAGTGCCATGGATAATGAGCAACTTCATTACAGACATTCTGAAGCCACACTCAGTTTTTCACTTATCCCACTCATTATTCCCAGAAGTATTCAGGAACAACTCTGACAGAATTTGCCCTTCAATGCTGTTAAATTGTTCAAAAGAATAAACCCTAATCAGTTATCCAGGCCTGTAATTTTTAATTACCAGAGATCACTGGCAGGACACATTTCTGCTGTCTTTTAATTAAATTCCACCAAGATGCTCTGAGGAGGAACACAATCTACTGGTGCCACATTTCAGGGTTCCTGAAGAATTGTTTCTCACTGCGGATTTTTTTCCAAAATTTTTGGTCATTAGCCATTCTCTCAATCTGCTGTTCCAACCACAACTGCTGATTTATGAACAAAGTAAAAGCTTGAACAATGAATAAGACAAAACCAATTTTGATGGTTGAGTGCAACACTGAGTAAGCATAACTGAAGATTTTATCTTGCCTGCCAAATCAACAGCTTCAGGAAATGCAATCATCACTGGATGCTGCAGCCACGAAACACAAAACACACCCAGACCTTCCTTTCTTGGAACCTCTTTTCCTGCCAAACTACTTCATCAAATATTAATTTTTTGGGGGGAAAAACCCCATTCCAATGAAATTCCAGAGGCATCCCAGCCCTCCCAGAGCTCCACCCCTCAGCCAAGCCCTTACCTTCATCATTCTGGGCCAGAGCCCATGCCAGGACAGCAGCGAGTGCCGTCCCCACTGTGAACCATTTCCAGAGACAAAGCTGCTGGACCATTTTCTGTCAAACTTCACTCAAGGCAGAGCTGCAAGAGAGGGATTTGACACATTTATTACTCAACCTGCACAAAGCTGAGCCACTACAAAGTTTTTCACAGGGGATACTAAGAGCATGGCCTTGTTTCAGCCACAAAAATAGATAAAATAAGGAGGGAGAACCCCTAATTAGCATAAATGTGTGTACTCATTAACTCAATAACTGTGCATGCACAGCCCTCCAAGTTATGAAAATGCAAGGTTCTGGCTTAAATCAGGTCTGATTTCCATAATTTCCCTGCAATAAAGTATTCATGGTATCCTTCCTGCTTTCAGGCACTTTGGAGGAGCAACTGTAGCAGGGAAATGGCACTGATTAAAATGAGGGTTCACTGCAAAATGCCAGAGGGACCCAGGATTCAAAGGCATTGCCTGGGAAAAATGGGAATGATCCCTGAGGGTGGCCTTCTTTAAGGACACAGGCTGTTGGGTTGTATCCAGGAAAATGAAAAAAAACACCACTAGCACCACACCAGAAAAAACAATCAACAAAGTAAAATTAAAAATAAACAAAGAAAAACAAACACAAAACCCCCACAAAACAAACCAACAAAAAACCAAAGAGCAAGCAAACAAGAAAAAAATAAAAGAAACTTCCCAAGAAAATAAAAACCCAAACCAAAACCCGACAACCTTCTCCCTTCCCTCCCCACCAGGCCCCCAAAACAAACAAAAACCATCCAAATAAACAAAAAATTCCCCACCAAGATCCCCAAGACAAGTCTGGCTGAACTCCAGAGTGTACCCAGAGTGCAGAACATTAGATAGTTAAAAAAATTGTGGTTCATGGTTCCAATAAAAAGAATTAGCACAATTCAAATACAATGACAGGAGACGGGAATTAAAATATTTTTTAGCAATATAAACCAAGTTATTGTATAAAAAATAGCTGCATTTATTAAAAATGAAACAAACCTACAAAACAATTGTGTGCCAAGAGTTTGAGGAAAACCTGCGGGGATTTTTCCACAGGAGAAGGAGGGCAAGTAGGGAAATGTAATAAACCAGACTGAGTGGCCCATATTTACTCAAGTATTTAAAGTTCCTAGGTGGTTGATAATATAAATAAAATATATATATCTTGAGTTTGCTTGCAGGACATCTCACATGGGTGGGATTTCCAGGATGTCAGAGGTTCTTCCCCAAATTCAATGATTTTATCCTGTGATTTATGAGGCTCCCTCACATCAAGTATAAATATAAATATGTTTCCCTTTGTCAAAGCCATGGATTGCAGGTGACTATTGGATTTTAACCAACATGCTGGAGAAATAAAGGGCAGCAGCAAAACCATCTCAAATTCTACACTGAACACACTGCTCCACACTTCATCCAGGGGTTAAGGATGCAGAGAGGCCTTTCCAAGCTCCACCTCCCTTCAGGTTGGACTCTTCCCAAGCTGTCCAGCAGCAGGAGGCTGGTGCAGGCTGCAACAGGCAGCAATTCCAGGAAGAACTTCAATATTGGCCATGAAAGAAGGGAAGCCCCAGCACAGATCTCATGGGACTGTTCATTCCCATTTCAGACCAATGTTTGTCTTGACAGAGCAGCTCCAAGTCAGAGAACCACGGAATTCAAGCCATACAAAGCATCCTCCTTCCTCCTTCTCTTCCCTTGCCCTTCTACAGCTGTTTCTGACCAAAATCCAGCAGAGAATTGTGGAGTGACAGAATTCTTCAGGGTGGCAAAGACCATTCACGTCGTGAAGTCCAAGCAGCACCACCATCATGGTCACCCTTTCCCATGTCCTGAAATGCCACATCCACATGTGCCTTGAACAATTCCAAGGATGAGATTCCACCACTGCCCCAGGGCAGCCCTTTCCAATGCTTTCCAACCCTTTCCATGAAGAACCTGTCCATCCTCCTTCCATCCCTTTCCATGAAGAACCCTTCCATGCAATGCTTTCCAACCCTTTCCATGAAGAACCTTTCCATGCAATGCTTTACAACGCTTTCCATGGAGAACCTTTCCACCCCTTTCCATGGAGAACCTTTCCATGAAGTGCTTTACAGCCCTTTCCATGAAGAACCTTTCCATCAAGAGCCTTTCCAACCCTTTCCATGGAGAACCTTTCCATGAAGTGCTTTCCAACCCTTTCCATGGAGAACCTTTCCATGAATGGCTTTACAACCCTTTCCATGAAGAACCTTTCCATAAAGTGCTCTACAACCCTTTCCATGAAGAACCTTTCCAATAAGTACTTTCCATCCCTTTCCATGAAGTGCTTTCCAACCCTTTCCATGAAGAACCTTTCCATGAAGTGCTTTACAACCCTTTCCATAAAGAACCTTTCCCCAATATCCCACCTAAACCTCCCCCAGCACACTTGAGGCCATTTCCTCTCATCCTCTCACTTATTCCCTGGGAGAAGAGATTCAGCTCCCCTCTCCTCACTATCAGCTTCTCTAAGGGAATTGTAGGGAACAACTTCAGAGAGGAGACAGCAACCCTGACAGCTCAAATTAGAAGTTAGAGGCAGCTCAAAGGAGGATTCCAGACTATTCCCAAAGGAACTATTTATTATTCCCATGTGAGAGGAGACCAGAACTGCCCAAAAGGGCTTTTTCCCTCCCTTCTTCCCAAAATGTTCATTTGGTTACTGTCATGCAAACTTAGCACATTCCAAAGACATTCTAGAATTTGCAACAGCACCTTCCCAAACACCACCAAAATTACTTTTCTCATGATACATTCCTGCTGAGTACTTGGAAATCAAGGTTGTTTCCACATTACCCAAACAGATTCCAGTTAATCATCATTATGAAACCTGCTGGGAATTTTGGGGATGGGAATTTCTCAGTATTTCACCACTGTTTGCTACCCTGTTAACAGAATTTCCTGAAGGAACTGGGCTCAGCTGCTTTTCCACTTGAAGCAGTGTAATTCCATTAGGTGCTATTTGCCTCCAGCCTTTTACACCTCAAATCTCAGAATACTGAAATTCAGGAGACTCATGGCGTCTTCAGGTCAGTCTAAGTAAAAAATCCCATCCAAATAGAGATTTAGGTGTTATCACACCTAAAAAGAAGTGCACAAACTCACTTCTGAGGCTTCTGATATTTGATTTTACAACCTTGAAAAACAAAATAAATCCAGCTCACCAATCACGATGTTCTATTTTAGAAAGTTATTCAGAGCTCAGCTGACACCCTTGAGCGGAGTCTGCTCCTGAGAGATTTTTAGGATGGAATCTTGACAGATTTATTTTTGATTTTGATGAAATGTCAAGTTAAACCACAAGGATAGCAACACTGCTGCTCCCAGAATAAGCAACTCTCTATGCAACTGGACTACAACACAAGAAAAATCCTGATTTGTTTCCTTCAATACATACCAGAAAAAAACAACCAAATTACAAAAACAACCCCAAAACAAATAAAACTCCCAAAAGCCAGAAGTATAAAGTACAGAAAATGACACTATTAAGTTCAAATGATTCTGTTAACTTGGAAATAGCTCAGAACAAATCACAATTTACCACAAAGTGCCAAAAGGTTGACAACCTCTAAGAAATAAGTTTGAACTCCAGCCAGGGCAAGGAAAAACTACGAATTGATGAGAGAAGAAGGATCTGTAAAGGAAAGACACACAAAATGTCCACAAGACTCAGTATTTTCCTGAAAAAAAATTCTCATTTTAAGGTTTAAGAGATGAAGGAAATTATTCTGAGTTATGACGTCTAAGCACTTTGAATGTATTTAGAGGAACAAGAATATGACACATATAGTAGATGAATAACAATAAGTAACTTCCAATAATTATTTCCTTTTAGTTTTGGTGTTACTACAGGTTTCAAAACTTTGCTTTCATTAGAAGCTGGAACAGGGAGGAACATGGCATTGGTCAAAATAAAGAACCATTTTCTGAGCACCTTGTGCCAGGGCCTCCCCACACTCCCAGTTCCTAATGCCCAATATCCCATCCAGCCCTGCCCTCTGGCCCTGGAAGCCATTCCCTGTGTCCTGTCCCTCCATCCCTTGTCCCCAGTCCCTCTCCAGCTCTCCTGGAGCCCCTTTAGGCCCTGCAAGGGCTCTGAGCTCTCCCTGGAGCCTTCTCCTCTCCAGGTGAACCTTCCCAGCCTGGCTCCAGCCTGGAGCAGCTCCATGACCTCCTCTGGACTCATTCCAACAGCTCCACATCTTTCTTGACTACTTGAAATGAATCATTGGGGGAAATAAAAGAAAATCTAAATTTTTGGGCCAGATTTGCCATTGGCTCCCTCACACAAGAACTGCAACATCCACACCCAATTCCATAGGAAACATGGACTGTGGGAGTGCCCACACCACCCAAACTGCCACCAGCAACAAGTTCTGAGTGTTCTCCACAAGCAGCAAATCTGAAAACAATTTGGGGGCAAACACTTTGCAGTTCTTGCTCCTACAGTGGGTTCAAAGCCCTGACAAACTTCAACAGAAATCACTAAGTGAGCATTATTAATTCATTAGACATGTCAACAAATATTTGCTATTTAATGTATTTGTCAAAAACAGTGGTTCCTGAGACACTGCTGTGGCTGGATGAGTAACTCAGCATTCAAAAAGGAATTAAATACCCATTTATACCCTATTATTTACTCAACAAGCCTGAACTCCTTCAAGCATCATGAGTGACCCACTTGGCTTAGTGGGGATGCTCTTTGCACCCTACAATTGTGATAAATCTTTAAAAATATTTATTTTTTAAAGGTTGATGCGACTGAATTACTTTAACACAACAAAAAATTATAGAGGGCTGGATTTTTTATAAGATTCATCATTATTACTGATCAGCTGAATGCTCTTAAAGTTTGTAGACATAAAACAGGGAGTGCAAGTGCTTATTCTGGAGAACTGGTGCCATAATAAATCAGAAATGCCAGTAAAACAGCAGGAAAAAGCCTCTTACAGAAGCCAGAAAGGAGAGGAACTTGCTTTAGAGTCTGACAGTGCTCCTGGGTTAAAGCTACAGTTCATTAAAAACTTTGTGTCCCAAATGTTTGATTTTT